ATCCGCTAGAATTCTTCGACTCTCGGTGTTTACCTAGTTTGGCTCATGTGGAACGGATTAGTAATCTGAGGCAACTCGTCGCGTGTTTCGGAGACTATCAGAGATAAACCTGCTAGCACACCGAATACAGATTTGTAGCTGGCTGGAGCACGTATTACGTATGTCCGGCAGTCGTCTGCCGCATCGCGCCTTATTCGTAGTTGCGGCTCCAGGTTCGAAGAAACCACGTTGAGGTCAACAGATGACGTGGAAACGAGGCATGAAGAAACGCACAGAACCATTAGGTAGAGTAGGTGTATCTAGCCTTCGAGGTTGGTTTCCGAAATATTCTACAGCCGGTTGATGCTAGAAATTGAAGGATGTGGCAGCGAACCGGCAGCAGTGGTGTTCTTGTTGTCATTTCTTATCAGGCCGGAACTCCTGAAGCGGTATGTATGTAGAGTTCCATTGTGTACTCTGTATGTTGACTCTGGAGGTTCAACTTCTCCCTCCCTAAAACGTAAGTCCAATCTCTGTCCACCTTAAATATTACCCCATAACCTTGTATGCATTACGAGTTTGGCAGCAATCAGTGAAGTCTCGCCTCACTATTTCGCTGTACGATGAAGATGATGATAAGAACTCCTGATTTTTCCGTGCACTTGTATATATGTATACACAGCTTCCAAACTGTTCTCTGTAATGACTGTTTTACTGTTTGAAAAAAACAAGGTAGTTCGTTCAGCGCAATGGCGTTTGTGTTTGAGCTATCCTGTAATTCGTCCCTTTTTTCAAGTGGTTGTCGATATACCACACCACGGGCTGTCTGAGGTGATTCTTTCCAATTTGTTATCTATTGGATCTTGTTTTGGTATCGATATATATTGTGTTGGAATCGTTTACCGGTTACAAGATCTTAAGCACAGTTGTAATTTTTATACCATCCGTTTTTATCCACCTGAGCTGATATCGCGTGAATTATGCAATTTTTCTCGGTTGTTTTTTATCCTTGATGTTCTCCCGTAAGCCGTTCTGATTACCACTCATCTTGTGAATGACCTATAAGTTTGAAGTTCATTTTTGTGATCATTATAATAAGACGGCACCTGTTGAAATCTGTCACGTTATCTGTTCGGCTGGAAGTAACTGATCCGGAAATTAATTATAAGTGGACGATTAATTTTGTTCCCTTTTGTCTCGAAATAGAATTTGTGAATCGTCTACTCAAGGAGTCGTTCGCACAGTTACACACAATTGAACAGAGCTTGCGAATCGTCCGATCCCCGGTCCTGACCAATTTGCAGATGTTACGCGGACTGGAATCTTTGGGCACCGTATCCGACAATGCTAGTCACTCGTACGTCAGGAGCCCGGTGCTGTGCTCCAATCTGTCTGTTTTTTGTCCAACCACTGTTTCTAGGATTTGAAACATGTCTGCTGTCTGTCCGTGTTCTGTCATCTCAGCTCACTGTGTGTGTGTGTTTGTGTGTGTGCGCGACACGCATTCGATCGATCGCTAATCCCCTGTATCTCGAAAAATCAATCCAAGTTACTTTCGAGTGATGGGACGGGTTTAGAGATCTCGACCACAAAAGATCATCTTCCCATACATAATCCTTAGGTTATCTAATCAACCAAACAGTGGAAAACCACGAGTTGGACCGGAAGAGGGAATTGACAACGGCAATACCCGAACAGATTTGAACTGCTTATTCTGGTTATCTTCACCATAAGCTGTTTGACACAGCGGTGACCCAAGGTCTCCGTGCGAGGAGTTTCAAGTGTATTGTTGGCGGAATAAGGTGAGGATTGCTGGGCTAACGGAATATAAACCGTCAGCCATAAATAAAGCTCATTTAAAATCTCATCGTTCTTTGGTAAACATGCAATAAGCAAAGGTCATTATCGTTGACGCTATGGTATAATGGGATACCATAACGTCCCATGCTTCTATCTTCTCTTCATAGGAGTTGGTGGTCTTGTGGTTTATTTTCTGTCACTGGCGTGCAATCCATTGATTTTCGTGTGGCATTCGATTTTGTACATCGCGAATCCCTCTGGAGGATAGTTCTGGTAGATAGTGTCCTGGTAAACTTTTCAGTCTCATGATATCCTACTACTCCAACGCTAGTGCCCCGATCTGCATCTACGGCGAGGAGTCATGCACGTTCGGGTTAAGATCTGGTGTGTGACAGGAATGCCCATGGTCGCCGATGCTGTTTAACTTTGCCGTTGATTGGACAATGGGTCGTTTGATGGAGAGATACCAGGAAGTTCGGATCTCTCTGAACTTATGTGTGCCGAACAAGTCATAAAGAAGAAAAAAGCCCCATGATTGGCTAGTGGGCTGAATACCTCCAGGTTGGCCAAGCCAGGGCAGATGGCTTTTCTTGAGGAATCTACTATACTTACCTTTGGTTAGCCAAAGGACAAATGAAACTTTCATTGTCACTGTGGCATTTATACGAAGGGCATATCCGCTGCCTGGCAATAGGCTAATTTGTGTTTCTTCAGTGAGTGAATCCCTACATTTTGACAACATTATTGTGAATCACTTGCTCCAAATTGTCCACATTATCGATTTTTATCAATATAATATGCTATACAAATGTAGTAAAACTTAGACAACGATAGGGCTCATTTAAGACGGTACTTTATTTGTTTTGAAACAAATAATCATTGTTCCGGTTTTGTTGTCTATCTGGTTAAATGCGAAAACTCCCTAACGATGAGTGCTTCAAATTCCAAAAGAAACTTCACTCAACTTTTACTCTTTGCTTCTAATTTCGATGTGAATACATTTATTTCGACGGTTACAGAGCTATTTTTTTCCAGTCGTTTCCCGTGAGGGTAACACGTAATTAGCAGCATGCGGTTCTACTTTACCTATTCTCATTACCTAGTAAGGGAAAGCATGAAATGGGAGTGTTTTCTTTCAATGCATTGTTTCTAAAGAAGCACTTGAATGATTACCATTGGTTATCTCCAAGGTCTCACACTACTTTCTTGTAAATCCATATCGAAGATCCTTTTTCCTCAAGTTTCTCATATATTTACATATGAAAATTTCATCATTTTGTCCCATGATCATGATAAAACAAATAAAATTGGCTGTAAATAAATGGTTACAAAATAATATATTGTAAAATGTAGTAAGTCTATCAAATACTCTCGCTTTTATGGTTATGGTAGATTCGATTCCAAAACGGTACCATATTCATGTCTTCGATTGTACCCCATTCAGCAGTCTGAAATCTGACGTCAGGCCTAGTTCGTTGTGCAAAACTTTTTCCCATGTCGCAATATATGCGAACACACCTATTTCAGCTGTTGTTTATTGTTAATTTCATTCCTGATCAGAATTGTCCTAGAGATATCGGGAAATGACAATCTACACGAACTCTGGGTACCGAATCGCCCTCGGTCGACGAATATCTCCACCGGTATGATTGTTCGCGGTCCCGGTTCGGTGCGAATCACCCAGAATCGACGATTGTGCCCGGATCGGATTCGGCACCTGTTCCGACCAGATACAGTCCAGCTACGACGCATGGGAGCAAGTTTGTCCGAAACGGAACTAGATTTGATCGAGTTAACCAATGGTGATTTAGCTTACTGTAAGTCCTGAGAGTGGTGATGACACACAAAGCAGGTCGAACTTTTTCTGTTCTTANTTCGGTCTGAGATGAGCCATTAGCCCACCGGAAAGAGGTGTTTGCAACTGTTTTATTATCAGATAAAAGGGCACGTCTTTAGTACCTATGATGTGGTACGGATCAGTGATAGTGCTTGCTGTCAAACGAGCAAAAACAAAGCCAATCCAGCCGATTTTCTCAGACCTTATTCCTTACTACTTCAGGGACAGAATCCGTTGCATTGCCTCAGAATAGCAGTTGAAATGACACTAAACGAAATAAAACAAAAATGTTACGATTCGCTTCATTGATCTTCATTCAGTTTAGCTTCTGCCCCCGGAATCCGTCATT